GAACGGATTAAAAATGGTGGTCAGGGGTGTGGTTCTGAGGGCTTTAAAAGAAGAAGAGAGTCTGTCTTTCTCTCTCTCTGCTCTCTCTGCTTCCACCATCTTGCAATGTGAGACCCCTGGGTCACTGTCAACCACCAGATGGACTTTGGACTCCAAGCCTCCAAAACTGTAAGTAATAAATTTCATTTTCTTTATAAAATACCCAGTTTCATGTATTTTATTATAAGCAACAGAAATGGACTAGGACAAACTCTTACTATCTCTTAAATGTACTCTTAAAAGTAACAGGTTTGTCACAATGAATGAGCTCAGATAAGACAACCTTAGTCCAAAAATGTTTTGTGATTAACGTATAGAAACTCTCTGTACTAGTCTTGCAACATTTTTATAAGTCTGAAAATTGTTTCACAATAAAATTATTTTTTTAAAAATGTTATGGCTGGGAATGCAGACTAAGACTCAATACCAAACTTGCACTTGGTTTTCTCAACAAGCCCAAAGGTGACAAAGGTAACCTTGTCCTAGATTTTTTTCAAATACAAATGTTGATGCCAATAGACACCATTTAGCTAAATGTAACAACTACCCTTTTGCCCTCTCTAAGTTGTCAAAGAGATGCAGAGCGGGGCAGATAGAGGACCAGCATGGTACAGAAAACCAACTTATAAGACCATGAATAGCTCTGCACTGACCTGGAAATAAAGAGACCTGGGTTTTAATTTTGCTTTTGTAACCAGGGTGGGCATGTCACTCAACGGCTTTCCTTCTTCATTTCTAGAATGGCAGGAATAGAATAGATTATCTGTAAGATTTTTTCTACCCCAGTGTTCTCTAAGTTTTAATTCTAGCTAATCCTCAACGGCTTTCCTTCTTCATTTCTAGAATGGCAGGAATAGAATAGATTATCTGTAAGATTCTTTCTACCCCAGTGTTCTCTAAGTTTTAATTCTAGCTAATCCTAACCTTTTGACAACTTAGTAGCTTATCTTTAGAAAATAAAACTAATCACCCTAAATCAACCCAATTTTCTTGTATAGTCTATTTGACAGCCACACTGCCTTTAGAAATCTGTCATACAGTTACTAATGGCAGCACTGTCTGTCCGAGCAAGTTTCCTAATCACATTCTGCAGAGGCAAGTGGGTGTGAATCTTTTTTTGCAGGCAACAGTATAAAACTAAGTACCCTAGAGATGAAGAACAGGATTTCTACCCCATTTGGTGTGGCTTACAGGAGTATATTTCTTTAGCTTGGTCAATAAACATGGGTAGCTTAGTTTTGAGCAACAACAGTAAGAAGGCATAGGTACTTTTCTAATGCCAATCAGTTCCCTATTTTTTCCGGCTTGTGATCCAATTCAAGCTTAGTTTTAAAAATCTGATTGAAAACTACTTTGTTATCAAGAGACTTGTAATCTATGCCTAATAGCTCACTGGTACCAACCCTTTGCTTTTTAGTTTTTTAATAAATAAGTGAATTAAACTAAATTATAGGGTAGAAAACATTTTTAAGCATAAAGAATTAAGAAGTTTCCCCTGAAGGCTCCTATGAATGGCTGAGGGAAAATTTTTAACATATGGTTTATTTTCCACTCACAAGATTTTTTGATAGTTAGCTCATTTCTCACTTACATTAGGAAATAGAAAAGTCTTTTCAGAATTATCTTGAGAAAACTATTAAGGTTTCATGAGGAAAGGAAGAGGTGCAATGTTGATAACTTCTCTAAATTGCCTAACCTAGGAAGAAGAAAAAGAACTCAGTCCAATTTCTCATTATGATGAGGCAACTGAGAATAATTTGAATTCAGAAAATCTGGGTACACTTTAACCTCTTTGAAACTCAGTCTCCTTATTTATAGTTCAAATCAAAGTAATCAGTCAACAGCTTTGTTATAAGGATTAAACATTATGTTTTAAAAAATACAGAGTGATTCAGCAAACCTAGATTAAAATGTAAAATCCAATTTTATCATCCTCAGTGAAGGCAAATGTTAGTATTCCAGAACTATAACTGCATAAGTTGAAGAAGTGACACCTTGAGGACAAAATAAATGGTGGTTTAGCATAGCACTATTTATGGACTGCAATGAGCTGTGAGTAAAGGTGTGTGTGACTTGAGAGTAAAATCCTAGTTCCTGGAGCCTGACCAAATAAGGCTTTTCTGAAGCATGAATGTAGCTGCTGCTTCTGGCTCCAGGAGCATTTCTAACCCAGGGATAGCTAGAGGAAATGCTAGAGTGAATTAAATTCCTAGGGGAAGACTTTCAGAAAATATAACATAGTTAAAACCTTCAGAGAAAGAAAAGTGGCAGAAGTGAAATCAGACAGCTTAGATAATCAATGCAAACACTGTTTTCCCAAGACAGCAAGGAAAAACCCATGAAGCCTTCTTTACAAAATGAATGATGGCTTGGGGGCATATGATACTAACATGAGCATGTAATGGCTTAAAGTATCAAATGCAAGTAGAGTGAAACAGTACTGGACTAGGAACGAGAAAATCAGTTTCAGATCTGGTTATATCACATTCCTAAGTAGAAAAATGGTTAGAGCAGTCTGAGTCAAGTAGGTCTAGGTTCAAATCAAATCACCTTCCCTTACTTTATAACTTTGGGCAAGTTTTAGCCTATCTGAACTTGTTTCTTAACTATTACATGGAGATAAGAATGCCTACCTCACAGGTTTCTTTGAGAATTAAATGGAAGTACATAAAGCACTTAGCACATCATAACAATCAATAAGTTACAGGCACTACTACTAGTTATATATCCTTGAGGGTGTGGGCCTCATTTTAAAAGGGGATAAAGGGGCTGGCCAGTTAGTTCAGTTGGTTTAGAGCACAGCCTTGTAACACCAAGGTCAAGGATTTGGTTCCCTATACTGTCCAGTCACCAAAAAATAAAAATAAAAAATAAAAAGGGGGTGATAACACAGGAAAGCTCTCGACAATTTATTTTTTTAATTTTATTTTTATTTTTTAAAACAATGACCGATAAGGGGATCTTAACCCTTGACTTGGTGTTGTCAGTACCACGCTTTCCCAAGTGAGTTAACCAGCCATTCCTATATAGAGATCAGAACCTGTGGCTTGGGCCGGCCCGGTGGCGCACTGAAGAGTGCGCTGCTTGGGAGTGCAGCGGTGCTCCCGCCGAGGGTTCGGATCCCATGTGGCGACCAGTTCCCGCTCACTGACTGAGCGCGGTGCGGGAGCAACACCGAGGGTTGCGATCCCGTTGCCGGTCCCGGTCCGGTATGGGCGCGACACTGAGGGTTGCAATCCGTTGCCAGTCACGAAAAAAGACAAAAAGGAAAAAAAAAAAAAAGAAAGAACCTGTGGCTTTGGTGTTATCAGCACCACTCTCCCAAGTGAGGCACGGGCCAGCCCAGGTCTCTACAATTTAAAGCACCATGTAAGATAAAGGAGTTACTACTCCTGTAGGAGGCTGGGTTCACTAGTTTCCCACACCAAATGTTAGCAGTTGCTTTCTTTCCAACCAGCAGATTACCATTAGCAACATGGTATTATTTAGGGCACTGACTCTTTTAAAACATTCATTCCTTTAATATCAATAAGTGAACAGATTAATATCTATAAGATGATAAAAAATTTATTAAGCATTTACACATGTAGTCTCATAAAAAGAGCTTTTCCTGCCTAGGAAAAAGTAGGTTATCACCACTTTTGCCTCTTACTATATCATATAAAAGTCCTTGCAGATAGCAGGAACTCAATGTCTATTAAATTGACGGCAGAGTACCAACCTAAAAGTTGAACTTCAGAAGTACTTACTTCATTATCCTGGAAAGGATTATTAGGGGAACTTTTATGAATAATAAATTCAAGTGACTATTAAAAGCACTCTACAGATGCTGAAAACAGCACCACAGTAAAGGATGTAAGTTGTCTCCATTATAAGATCCAATTTTTAAATGAAGGTACTACTTAAATGGTCTTCCAAAGGTCTAAGCAAGCGTTCTAAAATGACACCAGAGTGTAAAGTAGCTTGAGCTCTACAAGTTGGTTCAATTGGTATTTATTGGCTACATTACTTGCACAGCTGGGCAGTACAAGAAAAGGACTCATATATATCCCAGGATACATACACTAAATCAGAGAATGATTCATAACAAGATCAAATCCAGAGCTGAAGTTTAGCATTAGCACGGTAGGATGGGAGAAACTGAGAAAGGAAAAGGGCAGTCAGTACTCCATGGAAAAGTAAAGTCCAGGAGAAATTTCTGGGGGAGGTTTGACTTGAGCTAGACTTTGAATGGCAAATAAGATTTGAATGGGGGCAAAATTAGTGTATAGACATAATGACTTCTATGAGACTAAAATGGAGATTACTTATAGGGGATAAGCCTTTAGAAGTAGGTTGGCACAAGTTTATAGTAAACTTTGGATACTAGAATGAAAAGTTTAGACTCTTCTGTTTAAATGATTTGCTATTCAAAAGAAACAGACATTTAGCTTTTACCTTATGAAACTAATAGTCTGCCCCTGACTGCAGTTAAATTGTGTTCTGGTATTTCAACAGACTGTAAGCATCATGTCTGATTCAACGTTGTATCTTTTATTGTAGTATGACATACCTACATAGTAAGTACTTGGTAAATGTCTGCTGAATGACCAAATGATTCCCAGGGTGAATTAGTCAGATGAAAGTCCAAACGTGAGGGCTCAGGCTGGTAAACCCCCTAGGCTTTTTTTTTTTTTTTTTGTCCTTTTTGGAGACCGGCCGCACTGCGCTCAGCCAGTGAGCGTTGTGAGCGCACTGGTCATCCCTATATAGGATCCGAACCCGCGGTGGGAGCGCTGCTACGCTCCCAGCACCGCATTCTCTCGAGTGCGCCATGGGCCCGGCCCAAACCACCTAGGCTTTGAATCAAACAGCTACATCTGAAAGTTTTATGTTAGCATAACAATCCCACATATCACATTTCTATGGAATAGGTAAGCCCATCTCTAGCTCCTCTTCCCACCACAATCACAGCAGTCAGATAAAGCTGAGGAATTTATTAGGGAAATATGAGAGGCACAGACACCCTAGGTGACAGAAAGAAAACTCTGAAAATGTCCCTTCAAGGCAAGTGGGGGCCTGGCCTTGACCTTCCTAAAACAAGAAACTAGTGGGTTAGCAACAACATTCTCTGGCATTCACATTGCCAGGGCATAACGGTCTTGGCCACAATGCTCTCCTCTTGTCCCCCTTCCCACCACCATAGGTTGGGAGGAGAAAAAGACTTTATATAATCTATGCAGAGGCAATGAAAGCTGTAAGGAAAGTCTGAGAGAAAGAAAAAGGTGGGGAGGACCTTTACAAAGAGTCCCAGGCTTTTGGCTCTGAATGCCTCAAATATATTGACAAGTAGTTCTATAAAATGTTACTGAAAAGGTAAAATGCCTAATATTGTTTCCAAGAGTTCCCCTGGACTTCCTCCCACATGTCACGTCACACCCCCAGATGTACATGGCAGAGCCCAAAGGCCACACTTTTGAAAAAACAAAAATAAGAATAAGCCCTGTTGTATTCTTAAGGAGACAGGAAGGAGCTGAAGGCTGCTGGGGCCTTTCGCATGTGGCCTGTGTTCTGTAAAGCAAGTTCCCAGCAGCAACATGGTGTAGTTCTAGGTGAGCGTCTCACCTTTTGTCACCTGTAAAGGAAAATTGACATTTAGAAAAAACTAGAAGGATTAGAGGGATCTAAACAAAAATCTTATTTTAGATACTAGTCAGTGAGAAATGGGAGAAAAGAAAATAGATAGCCTTGGAATCACAGAAACCTGGTTCAGATCCAGCAAAGTATTTAAGAATGTTTCTGCTTTCAGGTTTGTTTCAGCATTAAGTGGAAATGTGCATTCTCTCTTTGACAACCCTTGTCCATCATACTCACCCGTGCTTCAATGTACTCTATTCTCCGTTCAAGAGCTGTTAACTTCTCGTTTAGCGTTGCAAGTCTTGAACGACAAGACATATCTGGTAAAAGGAGACTGATGTTCAGGATTAACGTCACTCCTGACACAGAAACACACACAGACAAACACACAACCCCTATGCTGCAGAAGAGGAATAATATACCATGCGAAGTACAAATGGGAGAGGAGGGGATAAAGTGAGAAGTATCTTAGGAGCACAGTTGCTTAGAGTGGGAGCTGACGTTACTACCCAGTGTGGTAGGCAGAGAATAATGGCCCCACAAAGACGTCCATGCCCTAATCCCTGGAACCTACGAATATGTATCATACATGGCAAAAAGTACTCTGTAGATGTGGCTAAGGTTGAGATCTTGGGTTTATCCTAGTTTATCCAATTGGGCCCAATCTAATCACAAGTTCATAAATGTAGATGAGAAAGACAGAGAAAGGGGCTCAGAGATGAGATGGAAGAAGAGATTTGAAGTGTGAGAGGGACTCAATCTGCCATTGTTGGCTTGGAAGATGAAGGAAGGGGGCCAACAGATGCAGATGATCTTTAGAAGCTGGGAACAACATTCAGCTGACAGCCAACAAAGGAAAAGGGATCTCAGTCCTACAGCAGCAAGAAAACAAGTTCTGCCAACAACCCAATGAGCAAGGAAATGGATCCTCTCCTTGAGCCTGCAGAAAAGAAGGCAGCCCTGCTGACATCTTGATTTTAGCCCAGCAATCAGATTTCTGACCTACACAACAGTAAAATAATAAATTTTTGTGGTTTAAGCTGCTAAATTTATGGTAACTTGTTATGCCAGCAATAGAAAACCAATACACTGTACAGATAACCATTTGCTGACAGGCAAACTAAGAGTTTCAAGAGAGTGGACATGACAAGAGAAAGAATAGGGAGGAAAGTGAAGGCCAAGAAAGCAGCAGAAACTATGAGGAGGAGGGAAGGTGTCAGAGTTTCTGAATTCACAGAAGCCATGTCATTACTGTTGTTCTAGGAGGGTTCTTAATGTTTTATCAATATCCACACAGGCCTTGTAGAACTAGAGAAAGCTTGGAGAACATCAAACATCCTGTAGAACCCACATTCCATCTGTGAAAAACGGCCAAAATTCAGAGCTAGCTGGTTAGCTCACTTGGTTAGAGCATGGTGCTAATAACACCAAGGTCAAGGGTTTGGATCCGAATACCAGCCAGCCACTCAAAAAAACAGACAAAATTCCTTTCCTTCTTCTACCTTTTCTAATCTTCCTTTACCACGTCACCCAAAATGAAAGCTAGATTTCCCTAAAACACCTTTTCCTCTACAAACTTCTTTAACAGAAACTACTCAACTACTCTTTTTCTTTTTTTTTTTTTTTTTGTCTTTTGTCTTTTTCCGTGTCCGGCAACGGATCGCAACCCTCAGTGTTGCCCCCGTACCGGACCAGGGACCGGCAACGGGATCGCAACCCT